ATTAATTATTTTATGTTATCTATATTTTTCTATTTTTATTAGCTTATCATAAAAGTCATAGTTTAATATAAAAAATTGTCTAATGGGTTCTTTATTCATATTTTTTTTTCCAATTGTTTTCAATTGTTAATCTTCTCTGTGTGAGGGTCATTATAAGGACATCTAATGAATAATATATTATATTTCTTGCGAAACGATCAAAATAATTTTTAATATTTCTATCATAATCCAGAAAGCAGGAAAAAGTTCCCATGCACATGAATTTTTGATAGCGGCGAGCAATTGTCGTTGTTCCATGTACTAGGATTATATCTGTTCCTGATATGAATAACAAGTAAAACTCAGATTGTAAAAAAGGAAGAAACGGGAAACAGGTTGATATTGGACATCGAATAATCGAAATTTGCATGGCTCTCAGCGTCCATCTCATCTCGTTTTGTTTCAGGTGGTCATATAAATACGATACGTTGCTATCGAGCGTACTGGCCGCTCTACTTGTTAATGGCTATAAGTTGAAAAAAAAAGAAAATGTAAAACGATTGCGTCATTTACGTCGCAGTGCGGTTGTACAGTCCGAGCAATACCAGCCACTGTTTACATCCTATATTAGATATATGAAAGTGGTTAATCATACATATTTTGTGTGTAATTTCTCCATTACTACTTATATAAATTATTAACTCCTGTTAATAATCGACTATACTAACATTACTCCATCCTTAATGCCATTAATCCATAACCCTTGAATAACTAAATTCGGAGATATCACTTGGAGCTATAATTAGCCTTAATCTTACATCGATTATTAATGCGTCTTGAAGATTCCGCTTGTGCATCTCGAAAACTATTTTGTTTGTGTGCGCGCTATCGTCGACGTACTGCTAATTCCGCCGGCTCGAAAGCGGAACGTTTAAACATGAGACCACACGCGAGGCACACACGGCGAGCGTGTCTCGGTGTATTCCGCCTCGGCGACGATAATCCGAACAGCGGCATCTCCACGCAGCCCGGGATATAATTGCGCTGCCGAACGAAAATCTTGCTAATGCGCGGAGACTGAAGCTCTTCCGACGCATCGCATGTCGCAGTTGAATATTCAATCCGTGCACTTCGCCAGCGTGCCGAATCTTCTTGCCAGTTACGTCTGCCAGCGCGCTCGCGAAAACGTAAGCGAACGAAATCCCCCTTCCCTCCCGCCCCCCTTGTCCTCGTCGTCGAGTATTCCTCCTTTCGCCTACGCGCTTTCCAGTTTATCCTATCTTAGCTCAGGTTGGAATCCTGATTTTCAATTCGTGCCCTGAGGGCACTTACTCCTTGCAAAGTGTTTGGCCTTCGCCAGCCCGCTCCTCCCATCCGTCTATACGCCCGGCCTGCTTGAGCACTATCTACATGTAAATCTAATATACGCTCCTGCATTCTATAAGCATCGCATCGAAGAACGACACCGTCCCACCGACGAGAACGACATTTGGGACACCTCGTGTTAGCACAAAGTGACGTGGCTGATGGAATCTGCGGGATATATTCGAACGCGCGTTCCGGCGCCACGTCGAGTTTCTCATATATGCTAAAGCTCGGCTTTCGCGCTGCGCGAGTCTCAAAAAGCGCGTGCATGCATATTTATCTAACTCTAATTTTCTATCCTTCGATCTCTTTATTAACGATGCAGAAACGATGGACGAACGTTATAGCATATTATTATAGAATGTCCGTCAAATAAGGAAGTAAAATTAAATATTACATATCGAAAACAAGCGGTTTTTTAAATTTAATATCGTTTTCTATGTTTTCTATATAAGCGTCTAACATTAATTTAATTTAAGTTTTTCTATTTCAGCGTCTCGGAACAAGAACAATGTGATTGCGCGAGGAAAAAGGTAAGGGTCTTTCTTTTGCTTTCAAGTTGTAGTGTGTAGCACTGGTTGTTCTCTTTCCGAAATATCGATTTAACGATGCTCGTTAGTACTTGTTTACTGTGGAACAAACGAACCAGTTACGGCGATAAATACGCGTTTGGCGGTGAATATCATATTTTCGTCTTATATCTCCGCAGCCGTTGAGAATAAAATTCAGGTCGACGTGACATTTTTTTTTACTAAAATTTAGCTCTGGGAACCCGCTGCAAAAGTATTTTTATTTTCTGTATGCGCTAAAAAATCACGGCTCAACTTCCGATATTTGTTTTCCCGGTGTCGGCAGCTGCTCACTGAAAACTGCGAACCAGGACCGCCTGTGCGAGCCGGCGCACGTGGGCTAGTTAATTGAAACGAATCTCGGCACCTGTTCTTTTTTCGTATCATTACGCTCAATGGAGCGCGGCGCGCATGTGAAAAGTGGCTGTAACACGCGCGCCACATAGTCGCGATAACGCCGTGGAATGAACTTGCGAATCCTGATATCCACCGCGCATTCCGCCACCAAAAATGCAGCGCAGTCGCGCTGATAACGCGTGGAGGACGGTAGCAAGCGGATGCGAAAGAGACGGCAAATTTGCGTTGCGAGGACGAAATAGGCGCGCGTGTAAAAATTTTTCAAATTTTACGTTGCCGCGAAGATCGGGAGATGTTTGTTCTACGTTTCAAGTTCTACGATTTATATCCGTTTGCATTGAAAAGCTCGCCGCGATCGCGCGCTGGGTACAGTTATCGGGGAGCGTCTTTAATTATACGCAGCCGGCAAACCTCGATATTATTTTAATATAAATACACGATCTGCCGATAACAATGATAGCCATCGTTTACCGACGCTCCTTTGTGAATCGCTTGGTGTTTGGCGCATTGGAAAAAACCGCCTGGATATTTGCTAGCATGAACTTCGCGCGAAAACACCTCGTGTGCTATCGAGTCCGTATATCACCTTAATTACGCGTATTGCAAATTTCCTTTTTATCCTGATATCGCTGCGTGTGTTTTTCTTCACGCGCAAACCTCGCGCTGTTTCGCAAGATAATTTTCATTCATCGCGAACTTAGACGCATTGTTCGACAGGATGCTTCATGAAGTTTCAATAAGAATGATTAAAAGACACAAGTACAAATACAGTTTTGATAATAATACATGATTATAATTGAATAAAATTTTACTTTGCGTGGTTTTCCCCGCGTCTTTTGCGGCGGCAAAAAAATCTTTTACAAACATGCAATCGCGACATTTAAGGCGCACTGCAGTATATATGTTTAATACTCCCGTATATTGCACTGGTTTTTTATACTCGATTTACATCAAACTCTTTGCTCGAGATGCATTATAAAGTCGCTCATACCAAATGTATGTACATATGTATATTTTTTTTTTTTTTTTTTAACCGTTTACACTCACCGATCGGTCGATGTTTCATTCGCGGCGACATCGATCCACCGCGTGTTTACACGGACACGTACCGACTCCCGCTGGGCGACGGGGGATTAGCAAAGCAAGTAAACGAACGGTACAACCCTGGAAGGCAATCGATATAGCGAGGATGGGATTTATTTGGTGGTCGGTGGTTTCTTTGAAATCGCACTACCGCCGATCTGAGACGCGACAGGTAACGTATAGCCCGCAGCAGGCCCGCATTAAGAAAAATAAAGTGCAGTCAGATTCGAATCAAGTATGGAGCGTGGTTAGCTAGTGGCTATTCTCTTTTCGCCTTCGTGAACTTCTTTTATCGACGCAAGCGAAGATATGGACGCGAGCAGGAGCGGATCGTAATGTTTTGAAGTCTAAAACTATAGTTTTCGAATATTGATTTAAATTAATATAATTCTCGTTTCGAAATAATATAAAAAGAGGTCATCCGAAGAGAAAAATTAGACTTTTTTTGAATTCATTTTTTTCTAGCTGGATAATCAAATAAAAGATGTCAAAAAGTTCCGTGTTCCCATTTTTGTTCAATATTTTTGATAGTCAGAGTTTGAAACGTAAACTTTATAAATCTTTACAGATTTATTTCCAATCGTGATGTCATCGTTGTTATAAAATATCAGATAAAATGACACTGTGATACACTGTGATATAAATGTGGTACACTATGGTACATTGATATAAAAATAAGAAGTTAAGTGATGACATGACAGGACATTTTTCACTTCCGTAACAATATGAGATATCCAAAGCATTGTTTTGTACATTTCCTGGATAATTTCGTGCACTATTTTTAAAAATGAATTATGGAATACAATATCAATATTCTAACACATTTATAATTCAGAAGGAAATTAATGTCACATTAAAATGAAGAAGATGGAACTTTTTCTAGCGCTAGCAATAATATATAAATATTTTAAATATAATTGAGATTTAATTAAAACTTACATTGATATGTCGCCAACAATAATTGTTTGGCTAACATAATTAATATATCATGTTGACTTTTTTTCTTTTTCTTATGTGACATTTCTGTTTTAAGTTCTTGCAGTCAATATAGAACGCTAGAAAAAGTTCTATCTTATTTTTATGGTCAGTCTCCGTTGCAAAAATAACTTTATACGATCAAAGAAGATATTTATGTTAATTTTTCCATTTTGTTGCAAATAAAACTCGTAAAATTCATAAAAAAAATTGCGACTCAAATTTCAACCGTAAAAATCAGGGTTTTGCATAAGCACAAATATTTTGCACGATATTTTGCAAAGCTAGAAAGAATCCAGACGTTAATACACTATTTGGAACTAGTATTAATAATCTACTCACGTATTTTTTTGTTATATTACACTCGAGCAAATAAACTAAACGCACAACTTCAAGGTTTCACGGCCATTGGAAATCTCGTTCCAATCCTATCGTTTAGATCTCAGAAGAGGGTGATATTTTGTCGTTCGCGTAGACTGCGTCGCACTTGGCCATCGTGCGGAGTAACGGACAAAAATTCCTCGGCTCGCGTCTCTCCCTCTATTTAGTGCGTAGATCACAGACAGCGAGGTTGGTGCTATTTCGCCTTTTCGGCGAAAACGAGAAATTAGTGCCGAAACATCTGCCACTAACTCGAGCTCTGCTGCGTATTACATTTAACCCTTTGAGCGTCGGACCGACTACCAGCATGAACGGCTGTCGTTCCTTCGTGTAGCATGACATTATGTTAATTTCACGGTTATTAGCGTATCGCGGCGCTGCACTGATCGAGCGATTCTACTCGCCGTGGACCAAACACGAGCAGAATTCTACGAGCAATGATCTATTCGCTCTTTGAAGCGACCGTCATAGCGTATTATTCGATTGAAAACTGAAAAGTCTCGGATATGGGAATCATCAATTCTCTTTCTACTCGAGCAGTTTCTCGATATTACATGTTCACAGATTTTGTACAAAACATATATATTTGGTGATATAAATTGTTTTATGAAATTTTTGTGGAAAAAGTTGCAAATAATGCAAGGGCTTTTAACATTAAAGATGGCCTGTGGTCAAAATTTATATTTAATCTTGAATGTTCAGTGCGGCGTTATTTTTTTATAAGGAAAATAAAACAGAACAGATCTCTTGAATTTACATAACAAGGTATACAAGCGTACAAGTGCTCATAAAGTTACGTAACCAGAAGAATATGCCGAAATTATAACGCGCGGGAATCGGCAATATAAAAGTTTACTTCCACACGAGTTAGCACTAGTATAGCACTTTTGTTCGTCGTTTATTCAACGAACAGTCGTTCCGGCGATGCTACGGAAGAACATAGCGTACAGGCTGTTTCAACTTCTGCGTGTCCAATAAATTGAACATAAAATCCTGCCTTATGCTCGTATCTTGGGTCATGCTTCACGCATCGTAAGGAGACTCGCGGGCTGTCTTTAATGGTTTCGCATAGAAGGCGCTAAAAGGGTTTACGACGTATAAAAACTGTAGCTAAAGTGCGTGACTGTCCCACACGGTCGCCAACAGTATGAACGGATATAAGAAATTTATGCGATTGCAAAACAATTTTGTAACAATATGCGAAACATTTTATACGGAGAAAAATATATTTGCCATGCAGAAACCGCTTGACAATTATTGTTATTCGATATCAAAGCATTCTTCAATGTTTTCGAATTGAATTATTTCAGAGTTTATTTCCCATGGATAAAATTGTATGTAAACAAATTGCAAATTTGTTAGCAATAATTTAATCAGTCGCGCATTTGCCAGCAGGAAACCGGCAATCTGCTGTAGGCCAAATGTTTTCATTTAATACAACTTACGACGCTGATTGATTCGAATTTAGAAATGAAACGCGCAAATGACGGACGGAAAATCGAGCCGTCATCCGAAAGTCGTCCGTCTTCTTCCGCGGCAAGAGATGCGCGATGGGTACACTTATCTCCCTTATCAATGGGAGCAGCCGGAAGAGCAGGTAGACCAATGCCAAACGATATACGATAAATGCGGATCGGATGATGGATGCGCGGCGAACGCTTCGCATTTCTGCTTTCCCACGCCACTTAAAATCGCGCGCTTGTCCCTCCACCGTGGGCCCAGCTGCGCATCTCATATTGCGCGCCCCCCCCTCCCCCTCACATCATTTTCCGCGACATCTCTCTACTCAATGATTGATAAAACTACTGAATTTATAATCGCGGACAATAATTTCGCTCGCACGATTCGAAGTTTCCCGTGCATCAATAATCATTTGTCGATTCTCAGGAAATGCACTGAGTCCCTCTCTCTCTCTCTCTTCTTCTCTCTCTCTCTCTCTCTC